ATTTCTTGCGCCCGCCATGGCTCAGCCATCCAATCGTCATCACAAGGCTTTCCCTGCGCTGACCCAATGAATTCCAACAAAAATGAAAAAGAAGCGAGGGTATCCACGCAATTTGCCCAAATGAACCCCGCTTACGCCCATCGCGCATTCAAAGCCTTCCCATTTCCCCACATAAGCCTCGGGCAAGAAAATGGCGCGGTTGCAGAAGATAATTCGTCACAGCGCATTCTGGTATAAGGTTGTGGGTTCAAAATCTCGCAACCTTGCGCATGGACACCGGCAGGGCGTTAGAGTGACGCACGACTGGATAAACGCCCCCATTGGGATGACATAGGTAAGCTATCACAGACACTGCCTACGCACCACCCAAGGGGTAGCTCATGGTTGTTGTATGTTGGGAGTGGGCGATGGTGTGGTATCCTGATGTTCTTGGTCTATGCGGTGGTAATGAGACTGCTCGGTGTTTTGTACAGTCTGGTTTACTCGAGCCCATCAGAGCAAAGCTACAGACTATTTCATAGCGTAGGCCAATAGGTTAGGTCATTTGCATGATTTACATGAGGTCTTGTGTTCGATACCAGATTATGACTTAGGGCTGGTCATTCCTCCTAGTACGTAGTCAAGGGTTGAGGCTGGCATAGCAGTTCCTTAGTACAGGATGTCGGGGGTGTCAGGAAATACTGCACTTTACCGCGGGGACGGAACGGTGTCCACCGGTAGAAGGGGTCTGCCGGCACGCCGACCAAACCCTAAATCTCGCGCCGCGTCTGTCACCCACGGGAGGGCTGGTCGAGGCTCCAATAACCTGCAAGAAAACAACCTCATCAGTATCACCAAAATACGCCAACACCGCAATATGAGGCAGGAAACTGCTGACGACGAAATAATTTGTAGAAATGATCGAAATGAATCTTTTGATTTAGTTCAAAATAGTATGATAGCTCGCACGGCGACCAGGCCCTGTATCTAGTCCATAGTACGAGTCTGTAAAATCTGAGTCCCAACGGAACCCGGCCCCGTCGCGAAACGGGTTTGGTACGACAAATAGGCTCGACACTTGTCGGAGAGGCGATATCTTGGTTCGCCCGGGTGCGCGACTAGGACCTGTCATGGGTCTAGATCTTGTCTGGTCTGGTCGGTCTGGTCCGGTCGGTCTGGTTCGGTCTAGTCTGAACCAGTCTGGTCTGTCCTGTGCCCGGTCTGGTCTGATATGATCCGATCTCGCCCGCTCCGGTATGGTCTGATCTGGTCCAATTTTGGTCTGATCTTGTCTGATCTTGTCTGATGTGGTCCGGCCCGGTCTGAATACGGCCTGGTCGGGTCTGGTCTGGTCTGTTGTGATGCTGTCTGGTCTGGTCTTGAACTGGCCTGAACTGGTCTGATCTGGGCCCGCCTGATTCTGGCCCTATATGATCCCACCCGATCTGGCCTGATTGGGTTTGTTGTGATGCTGTCTAGTCTGGTGTGAACTGGCCTATTCAAGTCCAGTGTGGTCTGGTCTGGTCTGCGTCTGTTCTGGTCTGGCCGGGTCTGTCCTGTTTTGGTCTGGTCTGGTCCGGTCTGAACTGGTCCGGTCCGATTGAGTCTGGTCTGAGTCTGGTCTGGTCCGGTCAGGTGTGGTCTGGTATGAGTCCCGCGGCGAGTGTGGGTCCATCGCCCCTCCCACCAGCGAGCCCGATTGGCCGGTTCACCTGGCCAAGCTTGCATCTTCCTGCTGGTGCGCGCAGTTCCGCTTCTGGAATGCCCGTTTTCCTTGGCTATGATTTCGTGAGATGGTAGATAGGGACTGTGGGAATCTCGTCAATCCGTTCATGCACGTCGGCACTCAGAGCACTGAGCAGAAATCACATTGCATCAACGTTGATTGGAACCGTCGGGACTCTTCACCTCGTAGTACGCAGAGAAAGTCGAGCTCAACCGTGCCTTCTTCCCCCGCCGATTCTTCCAAGCCTGTTCCCTTGGCTTATGGTTTGGTAAGGTGGGAGATAGGACAGTGAGAATCTYGTCAATCCGTTCATGCACGTCGACACTCAGAGCACTAAGCAGAAATCACATTGCATCAACGTTCGTTGGAACCGTYGGGACTCTTCACCTCRTAGTACGCAGAGAAAGTCGAGCTCAAYCGTGCCTTCTTCCCCSGCKGATTCTTCCAAGCCTGTTCCCTTGGCTTATGGTTTGGTAAGGTGGTAGATAGGACAGTGAGAATCTCGTTACTCCAAACTTGCGTGTCACTAATTAGAGGACGTGGCATTTGGCTGTCTTGAGAGGGTCGTAGTCACTCCCGCCGTTCACCCACGCTTGGTCGAGTCTCTCCACTCTCACTCTCTGAGCATTGGGCGTCAATTCAGAGCACTGGGCCGAAATCACATCGCGCCAACATTTGTCGGACCATCGTGCTGCTTTTCCCCGGGAAGCAGCTAGCTCGTTCTTCTCTTCGCAAGCCCGCGCAGCTCCGATCAGCCTCGTTAGACGCTAGTACAGCTCGCACAACTCTGATCGACACTCGCCTGGCTGCTTCTGCCTGCATGCAGCTTTCCCTACCTATGCGCGGCCCTCTCTCTCTCTCTCTCTCTCTCTCTCTCTCTCTCTCTCTCTCTCT